TGAAAACATGCCCCCAAGTCTCCGCTTTCTTATGGCGAAAGCCGGAGCTCTCTAGCTGGCTTCTATCAAAAGTTATTAAAAAAACAACGGAGTCCATTCTATTTTGGTACAGACAGTAGACGACCGTCAATCGATTATAAGACCAAACCGATGTTCCTCATCAACAGATTTGACGAAAGGAGAGAGAGGGGAACATGATTGGCCATTTCGGCTTGTGATATTGTGATACAGACATTCGAATTGTTTTGCAAATAAACCTTTTCACGAGTCATTATCATTCTCCAGTCATCATAAAATCTCACGAATAAAAAATTCGTGTTATCGAAAAACATTGGATTTTTTTAATATTGCTATAGAGATTAGGCGAAAAGTTTTGATTCAGATTTCTTTTGTCAAAACTTATTACTTTATACATGATTTGATGCAGCTCATTTCAAGTTTCTTCTTTATTTTTTCCTTAAAAAGGTTTTATTCATTGAGAAAAATTGTTTATTTCAAAATCTAGAAGCTTTTTGAAACCCTATAAAAAAGTCCAGAATCAAATATACATCCGTATGCACAGAGTAACGATGCTTTACGTGGGGGGAAATATTTGCACAAAGTTTGAACCAGATAGAAATTCCGTTAATTCATTATACTGAAGAGTTGGTTGTTGGAAGATTTGTTTAGCAAGAAAAAATACTATTTTCTTCAAAATTTTAAGATTTTCCATTTGTATGTAGATAATCAAGTCAGGATTCGTTTTTGAACTTGTTTTCAAGAAAAAAGAGGTTCAAGTTGCAAGAAAATGTAAAATTGACAATATATATTACATTTTTGTCCATTTTTATGAAAAAATTTTGAACAGTCTTGTCTCAAATCATAAATAACATTTCGTGCCATATCTCCGTTTATATATTGGTGGAACGTTGTTGCTGACTCGGACTATTTCAGACGGGTCTTTATTGTCTTTTGCTCGTTGAAAAAATACTCTTTGATACTGTTAAAATTTGATTTTGGCAAGTTACCAACAAGTCTGGTGTACAGATAGCTCTTATTTCTCGAGTAATTTTTATCTAATAAATCAGATTCAATATTGCGTTTGTAGAGAAAAGAAAGATTCGATTCTCATCGAAACGAGCTTGACAACCTCGGCGAAGCCATCAGGTGTTGCAATTTACAATACAGTATTACCTACACTTTTCAAGGTTCAATGTATCGTGCTCAATGTACGAAACCAGGAAAGATTTCGTATTTAATTTGAGGAATGCAAGAAGATTTCGTTTTTCACACAAAACGTATTTAGGCACGTACAAAACCTGTTCAGACTTTGTTTGACAACATTCATTTTGTTTTCCGCTGACAACAGCGATACAGCTGTTCGTTTGCATTGTTATTGTCTATATAGCCTTTAGCATGCCCGCTTCTTAGTTATTTTAGCCTTTCTATGTTTTCAGTAGGTATACCAGATAAAATGAGCCACTCTTGTTTTGAATTTTTTGGGCAGTGAAGTATAGGTTCAAGAGTCCATTCTAGGGTTAAAAGATACAGAACTTCCTGCTGTACAACACACAATAACTTTGGTATATACGTAGGATTTTGTTATCTAAAAAATAACAGACGAGGAAGGCAAGTAAAGGGTAAAGCTGCGATGGAAAGAACCGACTTTAAGTTTTCTTGTATTTGACCTTTCTCATTATTTAAGAACATTCCAATTTGCTCCCTATTAGAGCTACATAGTGTAACAATTTTGTCGTTATCTAATTCATGCTCAGTGGAAAAATGACATTGTTCCCATCATTTTTTTGTTAATGATCAGTATCGCAAAATTGATGGATAAGTTTAATATCGTATTAGTTACCGTATATACTAAAGTCCCAAGGATTTGTTATTAGTGCAGACGATAGCCAATTTTCTTATTATCTTATTAACATTATTGTTTGGTTACTTTGCTTCACAGCTTTTTCTGTTTGGCAACAAAACCGAAAATACTTATTGATGAAGTTGTAGGCCAATATTGTATGTATTCTGCAAGGAATTTTCATCACAACGATAATCCAGAAATCATTGAACATTTTGATCCATATCCTGTTCACTTGGCTTTTATTCTTCGCGTTACAAGGCGCTTGAATATCGTCAAAAACGAGATTTCTTTCTAACAGCATCGTAGCTTTCATTTTTGCTTCATTGTTTGTTATTTTTTAGATAACGAAATTCTATGTAAATACCAAAGTTATTGTGTGTTGTACAGCAGGAAATTCTGTATCTTTTAAGCCTACAATGGACACTTGGACCTATGTTTCAGTATCCAAAACATTAAACAAAAGGTCCTGATAAACGAGCGCCACCGAATCTTTTTTCTGAATAAACATGTACGAGTTTACCACGAAGTCTTTTTTTCAGCAAAATCTGTAAAGGTTTCGAATTCGTTTCAAAAGTATAAACCTTCAAAGGTTCAGTACAGAATCATTTATTTTTCCAGAGTAGCATCAGGAATACTCCTAGAAAACATTTTAAGATCCAGTCTCTTCTTAATATTGATTAATGGATCTTCCAACTTTCCCGGAGTCAGCTCAACTTTCATCGCGGTTCACTGCTGATGTGTTTGATGTAGTAGACTTTGATTTAACTCAAACTTGAACAACACACAAAAAACGTATCAATAAGATGTCTGGAACTATATGTTCGTCAGTGTTACTGGTTCATTTTATCGAATATTCTAACGTCGTCAACAAATTCAGAGATAATGTGAAAGATCGACGCAATAGTAAAATGTGACGTATAAATTTTTATTTTCGCCTTCTTTCACATGTTAAGGTTTTAGTGAAAAATATTCTGAAATAAAAAACCGTATACCTGCTGATAAATAGTTAATTATGTTAAGAATAGTATTTTGTAAAATTTGTTTTTGCTGAGAATGAACAGTCGACATTGTTCTTGAACAGACAAAAGCCAAACTAAACATTAGATTTCTGTAAATCATGTTTAATTACGGACTTGTTGCGTTTTCAAGATGATTTTTTTCGATTTTTATTCCACACGAGAGAACACAAAAAATGACACTTTACTATTAATTTTTGTTAAAGTTTATCACATAACTGTTCAAACACAAAAAAAAATCGAAAAACATGGAAGCGTTACACGCGCATAAAATTTTTATTACAGAAAAAAAGAAAACTTGTTTTTGTTGGAATAAAAAAAGGAAACACATTCAAATGAAAGAAAGACAAGCGATCCAAATAGCAAACAAATTGCTTTGCATGTAAACGCATTGTTCTACAAAGATTCTTGTTTAATAATTTTTTTTTTGTTTTATTGCCTAATAATAAACTAATTAAAATGTTTACTCTTTTTTGGATGTATTATCGGTAGCAGATGACTCAGCATCATTTCGTTCTCCATTCGTAGTTTTATGTTCTTTTTCTGCTTCTACATTTTTCTTGGAATCAGCTTCAGCCGTCTAATTCGAAAAACATAAGAAAATAGAATAAAAATTCATATGAAACAACGTTGACCAAACATTTATACCTTTTTGCTTTCTTTTAGCTCTTCTTTTTCTCTTTCCACGGCTAGTTTTTCAAATAGTTTGGCATATAAACGTTTTTCCCTGAAAGAAAAACCATTACAGAAATCGTCTCATGCACAAGTCTTCTAAAGATATTTACTTCGCAGTATGTAATTTAATTTTTTCTTGACATTTTTGTATTTGTTGTTTAGCAGCTGAATTTGATGGATTTATCTTTAATACAGCCTGAAAATCTTTTACGGCAACATCAAAGTCATTTAATGCTAAATAAGCTTCGCCACGACGAAACAAACATTTTTCATTTTGACCATCTAATTCTAAAATATAGGATAAAAATATTTTGCTAGTTATTATACGCTTTTCTTTTCTTTGTGAGTTGTCTGACGAAGGTTAACCACTTTATAAAGTACGTTACTGTTTTTTTAAAGACATAGGAATGAAGTTCATATGAGAAAAAATAAATTAGAATTATTGAAAATATAATAAAAAATTTTAGCATTTTTTCTGATGCAATACAACATGTAGCCTATGTGTATTAGTTTTACCTAATGCTTTTTCACATGCATTAATGCACTCAACGTATTGTTCTAATTTTAAATTACATAGTGCCTGTAAAAGAGAAAACAAAAGCGGGGTAACAAATCAAAACAAACCACTGTGCTTACAATATTCGAATGTGATGTTAATTTTAACTGACGACATTTATCCTTATCATTATCACTTTCAAAATTGGCACTTTGTAAATAATCAACAATTGTTGAATACTTTTTCAATGCAACACGAAAATGACCATCCTAAAATAACAAACATTCTGTATCAGCGATTCTTACTGCGCTAGTTGTTTTCTATTTTCCATGATGGAACTTAACACTGTTAATAATACAAGAAATGAATATGCACCCTAATTGCTCATACCTTGAACAGTGACGCACCAGATTTCTTTAAAACTTCAGCTTGCTCAAGTTTTTCATTGTCGTTCATTTGCCATGAATCTTTTGCCTAGACATAAAAAATGAAATATATAAAAGACTTTTTGTATAGCATGAGTACATTCTAGAACGAAAAGTGACTATGTTTAAATTACCATACCTTTTCGAAACTTTTTAATAGAATTTCATATTCAACATTGGCATGTGGCGGAATATTAAATGTTTTTTCACCATCTTTACCCCAAGCTGCTTTAGATTTCACAGTAATCTTACAACGTTCATTTTTAAGCATTTTCGTTATCGTATGTTCTACTCTAAAAAAGGAAGAAAAACGTTAGAAATCGTTTTTAGCAAATAAAGATCTATGTACCCCGGTATGATATTTTTCAAAACACCTTCCCCCATAACAAAACTAACAGTTCGTTCATCAAACACTCTTCCTTCATACGTTCCTTTCAATGATACTAAAAGAAAAATACAAACTTAGAAATTGAAAAAAACGCCTGCAGTCAAATAAACCTTCCACGCTTGCACCATCATTCGGATGAGACCACTCGTCGCCTTTGGTCAAAATACGTCGAATTACACTTTGATCTTTAGCTTCACTAATGTCTTCGCCTGAAATATAGAAGTATAAAACATTACTTAAGAGTTAACTCCTATCCTCGAGTTTCTTACCGACAAAATTGAATAGTTCAATTTCAAAAACAAGTGTTGAATCTGGTGGTATATTTGCACCACTTCCAGCTTTACCATAGGCATATTCTGGCTTGCATATGAGTCGACAGATTTCACCTCGTTTCATCGTTGCAACACCAATATCCCAAGCTTTAATTACACTGCCTAAAAGGTTCGCATGTTACAAATCATTCAAATGAGCTTCTTTATAAACACAAACCTTTTCCAAGATCAAATTCAAATTTTTCATTTCGATCTCTGCTTGAATCAAATTTTGTTCCATCGAGCAATGTTCCAACATAATGAACGGACACTTTATCATTAACAGCTGGTTGTTCGTTGTCATGCCCTTCTTTTAAAATTTCTTTAAGAACACCTAAAATGGTCAGAATAAAATAGTAAGCTTCTAGACAACCAGAAAACAGTAATACTGCTTACCTCCATCCTTGTTGGGAGTAATATCTTCGCCTTTCAGTTCAATTTGAGGTGTTGATTTCACGGATGTTTCATCACTTTTAGTTTCCGCCATTTTTGTTTACTTTATTTCTTTACCTATTAACACACAAAAAATACCTTGATTAATCCATCTAAAGACCAACTGCTTAAATAAAGCAACTATTATCATTTTGCTGATAATCTGTATACGGTCATAAAATGTACTCTAATCTTTCTCTGTTTCCAATATGGTTAGCACAGAACCATAGTTCCTTGCTACCACAGATACTTCATCGTCTGAAAAGTTGTTGACCAAAGGGGATTTTGGATGCGGATGTGAAAAATTTTTTCTTTTGTTGCCAGCATAAGATCTGATTTGAAAAATGTTTCGTCTTTAGTGAGCAGAAGTTTCAGATTTTTCCAGTGAATTACATTCAATGTAAGAATTTTTCAGAAACCCTTATTTGATCATTGGATGAAGTGCAGAAATATCTCGAAAACTCCAATCATACATCTGCACAATGACTGTTCATATTTACTCGAAAAAAAAATGTTAAATTGAATGTAGGGTCACTGTGAATTCATGTCATCACTAAAGTTGCTGACATTTTAGTTACTTCTAGTAGGTCTGACTACTTAGCCAGAAGAGCGGATGAGTGCTCTTTATTTGTCATTCAAGTGGCTAAAAAAATTATCACTTGGGTGACGGATTATATGTTAGCCGTTTACATAGCTGACAAGCCGCAAAAGTAGCTTCTACTCAACTGCGGCTTAATCAACTAGTTATGCCACCAAAGTAATGATTTTCAGTCGCTAGAGTAATAAACAAAGTATGGTTTATTTGCTCTTCTACGGACTGACCAATAGTGACTAGAATGTTCTGTCAACTTCGGTAGAATTCCAAAATTATAGCAAAGCAAAAAAATTACACAGATATTCATCGTCCAATCTTCTTTTATAAAATAACACCCATTAATTGAAAGTCAGATGTATCAAAATTATTTCTACCGGATAAAGAGTGAAACAGACGTTGAAGAAATTTTTGTACATGAACGAGCAACCAGTCGCGACATCTAATCAGTTTCAGAAAACTCATACTTCGATGCGGCTGACTACTGTAGAAGAAAAAACTTTTTAAAAGTCGGCAAAATGTGAAAGTTAATTATCGAGTTTTAACAGCAATATAACTGTTTGTCATGGTGACAAAACGCTTAATGGCTGTTAGACACAGATGATTTTACGTTCGCATGTATCCAAATTAAAATGATTTTATATTTGATTCAATTAGTAACGAAGACTTTTTCTCTCAGCTTCGAAAACATCTAATACTTTTCACTTTAGTATTATAGAGTACATTGCTGTTCGATCCATCAGAAAAAAGTTCTGTGATCTATGCTGTATACAAGGGGGGAAAAGCACCACTTCACCACTTCATTTCACTTCACCTAGGTAAAACGCTGCTGAAACGGTCGAAACAATAAAAAATCACTTCAAGTTAAGCGGAAGTGGTAAAATGGTACTTTTCCTCCCTTGCTTCCCTCCCCCATCAGGGGCGCCGTTTCAGCAGTGGAGTGAAGTGAAATGAAGTGGTGAAGTGGTGCTTTTACCCCCTTGTCTGTATAGCGCAAACTGTTTGTGTTTAACTGTTGATGATTCTTTATGAGACCATGAAAGGATTAGAAAAAAATTAATTTTCTTCATAGATTTTCTAAGCGATGGGCACACAATATTTTGAGCACAAGTTAGAATGTTCGATATCAGATCCACATTTTCAGCTGATGGAATGGCATCCAACTCTAAACATCTTAGCTGTTGCCTCTGTTGTCTCTCAGTCTGGCACACATATTCTTTTCTATACTGAAGACGTAAGTGGTTGTGCGATTAAAATAAAATTAGTATGATATCTTTTTATACGTGTCAATTCAGGGAGAGCAAGATGAAACAAATAAAATACAGCATGCTAGTAATGCTCAATGTCTATCTTGGCATCCAGCTAAAAAAACATTAGCTATCGGTTTTTCAAGTGAGTATTATCTCTCAAACTGATATTTGTTTTGCTAACGTGCATGTCTTTATTTTTCCACTTAGATGGAGAATTAATGATACATGGTGGGTCCAACAGACGACTGGAAAGTGTTATTGTACATAAAACGTGTATAACTGCTCTTGCATTCAATGCAGATGGTACGAGATTGCTATCATGCGATCAAGTAAGCATGCTGCGTGACTATTTCCACTCCAAATTAGAATGATATTCTTCTTATAGGAAGGCCTCGTTATCATATGGAAAGCTGATTCATTAGTACAAGTATCACAATCAAGCATTCTACTACAGCAAAATGTGGGAGAAACAGTGACATTTGCCATACTTAAAACTTCCCCTTCAGGTAGATCGGATCAGTAAGTCATTTGCAATAGTGATATTCTAAAATTATCATCTAAATAAATTAACTTTATTTCACTTGTTTAGAGATTACCGTGAATTAGCACGAGCAGCAGTGAGTGGTGATCAAACAGCTTTAGACATGTTGGCACAGACAACAAGTCGAAAAGAATCAACGGAAACGGCAACATTTTTTGTTGGAACAGATCGAGGTTAACATTTAATAAATGAAGTAGTATGTTATGTAATCTACTACATGGTTTCTCATTGCAGGAAGTATTTACTCTATCGGTGATTCATCAAAAATCATAAAAATTTGTGCGGTTGATGACGCAGTAGCTCGTATATTATACACCTACGATTGCGATGTATTAATCGTTGTTACAGTATCAAATATGATGACACAGTATAATTTACAGTTGTTAGAAAGAGGACAACTGCTTCAGCCTACAATATCGGTGTGTTGATAATCTCAACACATATGAATGATTTTTTACGTTTTTGTTTATCGCTCAGGGTAAACTTAGTGGAAGACCGGCTGATTCTGACTATACATTAGTTGGTACAAACTTTTTTGCTTATGTAACGGGAGAATCAACTATACGAATGATTAATGTATCATCGACAGAAAATCTAATGCTACGATTAAACACAGAGTTGGGTTATGCAAGTAACGAGAATCTTGTATGCATAACTTATTGTCAAACTAGAGGTAATTCGATTGAATTACTTGTTGCGATTTTACTTCTTTTCCAATTATTTATTTCCATAGGTGTACTGGCGGCGGGAACCGATCGGGGAAACATCGCTTTATGGTTATACGTACCTAATCATCGAACAACAGATGTAGAAAAACATTGGCGTTTAAATCGAGCGAAATCAATTTGCAATGGCGTACCCATCAGACTTATCAAGGTTAACGATTTCTCTATCGTTATGATTCTGTTTCCTAAATTGTTCTTGTATCACTACAGTATTGTCCGCAACGAAATTGTCTTGCTGCCAATCTAGTTTCACAAGTTTATGTTTTAACAGACGAATTAATGTCGGCTGCTTATCGTGATAATGTAAAACGAAAAATAATCCAAGTTTTGTTTAGATTACTTCATTTTTATTTATTTAGCTTGCTATTGTTCAATTGAGTCCGACAACCGTTCATATGGCATTTTTTCGCTATAGTGTTATTAAAGAAGATACATTAGATATGCCGTTCAAAAATTTATCGGTTTCAAAAGTAAAGAGAATAAAAATTTATATCTTATAGTTTTTCAACAAGTATTTTCTTTTATTCATCAGAATCACATTGCTATTTGGAATAGAAAACAAGTGAAAATCTACGAACTAATTTGCGATGCTTCGAAATCAGATGAAGAAAAAATTCAACGTACAGAAAAAGGTGATGGCTTGATCCCTTTGTAACATGTATATTAGTTTATCTAGAAAAAATATGTTTTAGGTTCATTTACATGTACCCCAACCAATGTTATTTTGTTTGATCAAATATTGTTTATAATGGAAAATGGACGGATCAATGTTATGTCATTTCAAGTAAGTTAGCGTTGATACTTACATGTAGTCTGACATAAATAAACCTATTAATTAAAGGGAACATCTCGTCAACAGTTAACATTTGCACAAAATGAAGGTGATGCATGCAATATGAATTTGAATGGCTCATATTTGGTTGTTGGTTCAACAAAAGGTTTTGTCAAAGTCTTTGATGTATCACGAAGGTAAACAAACGAAAGGGAAAAAACATAATCCAAATTCAGCTTATACATTTGTTTTATAAACGCCTTTTTAGTAGTGACGATGACCGAGTTTCTGTAGTGAAAGGAGAGGGCTGAGCCTCGGAAATATTTTCAGTATACATTTATACCGTACAGTTCACGGCATTAAAATACCGGTAAAACATTTTTTTCTTACAATGAAAAATTACGTGATTTTGGTCCATTGAGAGTCATGTTGTCTCTTATCTTCTTAAATGTGTATATGTATATGGAAAGAGAGAGAAAATTGTTTGATCATTATTATTTAGGTAAAGCAAGGTCTAAATCTGTGAAACTTAGGCTGTTCTTTACTACACGCGCAGACCTTGACACTGGCTTCTTGTAGCACTTCTTTTAATTAAAAATTGAAAGAATGTATTCGAACATCAACAAAATAGTTTGATAATTCAACCTTCAGAAACGGTCAACTATCCTCGTTCAAAAGACTTAGGCTTTTCTGTAATTGTAACAAATTAATTGTCAAACAAATTTAATAAATTCAAATAAAGTCACATTTATAAATCTAAATTTAATAAATCTTATTTTAGAGACATTCGCGCATTGGGTAAAACACTAAATGTTAATAATCACACACCATCAGTTGATTCAATACGTGAATTAGCGATCAATTGTAATGGTACAAAAGTAACTGTTCTTACATCACAGGTAAACTAAAAACTAAAGATTGTTGATTTGAGTAAATTCATAGGCTCTTTACTTAAGACGAATGGTAACCCAAGTAGTCGATTGTATGTATGGGACATTGAGAAAGATGTAGTAGGCAATTTTGACTTTAGTATGGAAAAGTTACCTGGTACAGAATATGGTCTCATTGGACAAAATCAACCCTCTGGAAATGAAACAGAAAGGTTAATACATTCACAATAAAACAAACGTTTTACTTGACGTTATTATTTATAGAAATTCTAGCGCTATAAATAAAATTTTATATCGTCGTTATCCTTCACATATGACATGGGATCCAGAAGATAGTCGATTATTAGCATTAGAAGTCTATTTATCACAACAAAAAATTGATTTAATATTAACATCAGATGATGAGAAAACACAGGATTTATTACGATCGAGTAGAAATTTTGATGGTGGTGATGAGTATAATAACAATGATGAATTAGTAATTTTCAATTGAATAAAAATTTCGATCTTACATTGTAATAAACTTAAACATTTATTATGGTATTTTTAGGCTGAATGTATTGTTGTCAGTATGCTATGTACATTGGATAATCAATTATTTCCAAAAGATGCTTTTCCAAGAGATAGTTATTATCGACAATTGATTGCTGTTCGAATACCATTTTATTTTTTCGTCACAAGAGTATGTAATAAAACATTTCATTGAAACTAAAACAGAATAGACGTTGACACATTTGTAGGAAAAACATCCAGATTTTGATAAACATATGAAAACTCAGAAAACATTACAATCAAAAAATGATAGAAACTTAGGAGATGATAATCAATTAACAGCCATTAAAAACTCACGCATTAGGATACAAATACCAAAATTAGATTCTTTAGATTCTAGTGGTTTAGTACAATCATCATCATCAAATCATCAACAAAATTCAATTTCATATGATACTGAATTGAATGGTTAGCTATATTTTATTTATTTTAAAATTTACATTGATAGAAAAAAATATATATTATTTTTAGAAACCGTTGTTTATTCTGAATATTTGACGGGTAAAACTATGCCAGATTTTGTTGGCGTTAGTGTTATTGATAAAAATATTGTTGATGCAATAATGAACTTTAGTTATCATTTAACATTGGGTGATATTGATAGTGCATTCAAAGCAATTAAACAAATAAAAAAGTATACATTATTCTAGAGATTATCACTATAAATAATACATTATATATTTTATCATTAATAGAGAAAGTGTTTGGGAAAATCTGGCAAGAATGTCTGTTTTATCTCGTCGTGCTGATGTTGCAAAAATATGTTTAGGAAAAATGGGTTTATTTCGTGGTGCAAGAGCATTACGTGCAGTTGAACATGATAAACCTGAAGTTAAAATAGCCGTATTAGCAATACATTTAAATATGAAAGTAAGATGATTATTTTTAATAACTAATTAAATTATATTCTTTCATTTGTTGTAGGAAGAAGCTGAAAAAATATTATTACAATCAAAACGTTATGATTTATTAAATCAATTTTATCAATCTATTAATGAATGGGATAAAGCGATTGATATATCACTACGTCATGATCGAATACATTTGAGAAATACCTATTATAATTATGCAAAATATCTTGAACAATATAATCAAATTGAAAAAGCTGTCGAATTGTAAGACTGACTCATTCTCTATCAAATTGTTCTCTATAAAATAATTTACATATAAATATTTAGTTATGAAAAATCTGGCACACAACAAAACGAAGTTCGAAGATTATACTTAAAACGAAAAGATATGAGTGGTTACAAAGAATATACAGCTAAACAAAATGATCCGTAAATATAATTTAATTCTAAAAATGATAGTATGTTTTATGTATATTATTATTATTTTGTTTTTTCATTAGTAAATTGTTTTGTTGGTGGGGTCGATATTTTGAAAGTCGTGGTAAAGTAGAAGAGGCACTTGGATGTTATCGTAAAGCAAATGATAATCTCTCACTCTGTCGTCTGTTATGTGATAATGATCAACCAACAAAGGTAAGTAATTAAGAAAAATTATTATATTCTCATCTAAAAATGAAATTTTTTTATAGGCAATTGAATTGTGTGCTGATACAGGTGATAAAGCGGCATGTTATCATATGGCACGTTATTTTGAGAAAAAAGGTGATCATAAACAAGCAATAGCCTATTTTCAACAAGCATCAGCCATTAGTAATGCCATGAGACTTTGTCGAGTATGTTTCAATTTGATTAACATATATTTTATTTAATTATATCTGATTCTTTTTTTTTGTGTGATTTTTTTTCAGGAACATCATTTAGATGAATATATGGCAAATATTGCTATACAAGGTACATCAGATGATAAACTAGAGGCTGCAAGATATTTTGAATCATTACCAATGCAAGAAGATCGTGCAATATTATTATATCATAAGGTAAAAGAAAGAGAATTCAATATTTGATACTGATATTATTATTGATACAAACTATTTAAGGCTGGACTTACATCAAAAGCGATTGATCTCGCATTTAAACATGAACGTTATTCAGCATTAGCTCAAATAGCCGATAGTGTAGGAAAAAGTCATGATTCATCACAAGTAACAAGAATGGCCGATTATTTTATGCAGTTGAAACAATATGATAAAGCTGTTGATCTATTAGCAGCAATCGATAGAGTATATTTATTTGATTTATAATCACAAAAATGAAAGTAACTATTTGTTTTTGTATAGGTGGACGAAGCGGCTGATTTAGCTATTCGCAATGAAATACCGTTAACAGAAGATTTACTTGAAAGATTGAGTCCAGCTAAACGTAAATTATTTTCGAACTAATCATAGACTTTAATATATAAACAAAAAAAATCTAACTGTTGAATATATTTTTAGCAATAAACGATGTTGATCTACAACGTTATCAAGCTACGTGTGAGAAATTAGGTGATTTAGCTGCTTCTCAAGGTATGGTGTCAATCATCTTTTAAAAATTATCAATCAGTTAGAAAATGCATACTAAACTCTTTTAGGTGTTTATAGTGGTGCTGCGAAGAAATACCTTGATGCCGGCAATAAAATGAAGGTAATTGGTATTTGAATACACTAGTTTTGGTACTATTTCATTATTTTTTACATTATTTTTAGTCAATGAGAGCTTTGATTAATTCGGGAGATGTAGAAAAAATAACTGTATTTGCAAATGTAGCAAGAAATCGTGATGTCTATTTATTAGCAGCTGATTACTTAAAATCGTTAAATTGGAAAAAATATCCTGATGCTTTACAAAATATAATGAATTTCTACAAAAAAGCAAAAGCTTACGAAAAATTAGCACAATTTTACGATATGTGTGCTCAAGTACGTTAGACCTGTATCTTTGAATGTACATTAATTGTCTGAATGATCTTTTCGATTTTTCTTTTTTAGATTGAAATAGAAGAATACAAAGATTATAATAAAGCATTAGGTGAAGTAAAGAAGTGATACTATTTATAATTATATGATTATGTTTTCAATCATTTTTTTAGAAGCGTTATTAGAAGCATATAAAACTTTAAAAGAAAATGGTGAAAATACATTTACAAAAGATGAAGCATTACAAGAATTAGAATTAAAATGTCGAAATATCAAACGTTTTATTGATGCAAGAGAGTACGAATTTGTGTTATATCTATTTCATACCGATCTAGTCAAATTTTAATTTCTTTTAGTCGCTATAGTGAAGATCCAGAACAAGGCGCACGTGAATTAGCCAATTTACTTGGTGATCAAAAAATATTTGTTGGTGTTCATGCAGGTGACATATATGGAATATTGATTGATCATTTTGGACGACGAGAAAAATTTAAACAAGTAATATCTTACAATAGTTTTTCTATTTATTTACCTGTCATATTTTTGCTTTGATGTTTTTTAAGGCAACAATGTTGTTAGATGAGTTACAAGCTCATGTACCAGAAAAATATTTTTCTCATTATATCAATCCAAATCTACTCTCAGCTATTTATAGTGCAACTGGAAGAAAATTAGCACCACCAACTACACCACCAAAAGAAGAAATTGAAAATGGTGACCATCATCTTGCGTATGCTGAAGAAATTGCTGATAATTCATCCTATGGAATTATCGATGATTAAGATTTTTTTTTTTTTTTTGTTATTGTTTTGGGCAAAAATGCTTTTTTATTCATGTAAATATTTTTTTGTGTATGATGGATGTTTAAATTATTGTTGTTATATTTCTTACTTTTGCATATAAACAGTTAGATATTCATAGAAAATTTGATGAGAATATACTCAGAAGAAATTTAAGTGATATTTTGAACAGTTTTAATCCAAAAGAGATGGAAGTACGCAGAATATCTGAAATTTATGAAAAAATGAATGGTCTTTGTTTAGTTTCAAATAATTTTAAGAAAATATATAAATATAGATACTTACAACATAAATTACAAAAAAAGAAATGAATAATAATGTAAGTTTTTTTAATTTTTTGACAACAACAATGATCAACATTTTCACTTGTTGACTATAATGGTTTTTTTTTTACGGCTGTCATCCAACATATTAAAACCCATCATATACCGAACATTTTGTTATACCATTAATGTCATCTTGGCAATTAATGTACTTGGTTATTGAAGCATCATTTTTGTCGTGTTTTTACTAAATTCGAAACAAACTGGGACTACATTCACGATTACTTTCAATCAATCTGTAAGATGATACAACAATACATATCGGTGGTTATTTATAAAAACGTGAATCATCTACAGACAGAGGATGAGTGGCTATTGTATGTAATTCTAATTGTTAATTAAAATGAGACTCTTTTCAAAATATCGACTTTTTTTAATTTTGTACGTGATTGAACAGTCTAAATTGCTTCATATCATACGATTCGTTTTTGTAGAATTTTTACAAAATTTTTTAAATCCTTTAAGAAACAGGGTTGTTAAAGACTACTATTGTTTTCATTTTATATTCTGTTAGTTTGTTTTTAAAAATATACATTTTTAAACTCTCGTAGAGTAAATTCTTCTCTTGAAAACAAGACATGGCACAGCTCAGCTCGCATTTTCCTTCGATGTAAAACAATCGAATATTTCAATATTTTGGAGCATATTGCCAGAGCATCTACGTGAAAAGAATCGAAGTATGACATTTACATATTAAATGTGGCATCACGATGTCAAAAATCGATCTTCGAGTAACTTTGAAATGCTCTCGAGACTAGACGCGCAATATGTATTTTTCCTTAGAATGACTGTGACAAAAAAAATCATTTTTTGATATGGATCTCAAGGACTGGCTATTGACATTGTAGTATCGAACTTAGTCTTCTGTCCTATTTCTACTTTTTCCATGAAATCATTATTTTTGAAATTTTGATTATAACGCATTCTCATCAGAAGCTTTTATTTCTGAAAGTTTCGTTTGATTGAAATACATAATGTACAGAAAGGCGTTCTGAGAAGAATTATTTGAATGATAGTTTCATTTTTTTCGTATTCATCTATTCTCATTGACGGTATCAATAATTGTCTATTATACGGTTATTATCAAAATTATTCTAGTTTAATTAGAATTATTATTAGAAAATTATCCTATGTAAATGGATAACACTTATTTGCTCATCTTTTTTATTTTTCATAGTAGCTTCGTTGTTTTTCCATTAGATTCAGAAAAAAATACTAAAATTAATTTGTCGTAACTTTATTTCTTATTAATTAAAATTATGAACTAGATTATTAGAGCATAAATCAAACCACATATAGTTTTTAGAGCATTATAAATTTTTCTCTTTTTGGAAATTGAATGGTAGTTTCTCCATAGTGCATTGAACAGTTGCTCTGAAAATCAACAAAAGTTCCCTTTTGAAAATCTCACGTATTTCAATGGATTGACTTTTCCACTCCAGATAAGAAAATAATTTTTAACCCGTGCAAGGGGAAAAGAATTAATCAAAATTACTTGCTTTCGTCTTGATATATCTGGAAAACTAACATAGATTTTCCGAACATTATTACAGCAGTATGAGGACAATAAACGGCTCTTCTTGGTTAATATCGATCTCTTCCTTTGATGATGAGAAATAATGAAACAGTAAAAAATTAAAATTAAATTTCTCTCATATAGGTCATCATATTGAGAGATGGTTAGTCTCATAATTCGCATCCGTGATCGTAAAATACTCGTTATATTACCGTACTCGAAGAATATGTAATAATTAATCGATCCCTAGTAAGAAACCTATACATTCCCTGATAGAATCGGAAATTCTATTAGGATTTAGCTTGCTTTTTGGTAGGATCCTAGGAAAATCCTAAAGTAACCAGGTATACCGAAAAGTCATAGAATTTGCTAGGATTCTGTTAGGATCCAAATCGGATGTGTGATGACTGAATCATCATATAAAAGTACGCTCTCGCAATGTATGAACAACCTCAGTTTGACCAAAAATTACCAAATTTTTCTTTGTAGCTCTAAAACACATTTAAAACGGGCTCGGATATATATTATTACGTCAACTTGAGATTAATTATCCTTCTTTATTAAGAAAAAAAAGTCCTGACACGATCTTAAATGTTAGTATCCTCTCGAGATTCCTGACAGGAATTTAACATCAAAGATCCTTCTAGAAACTTATTAGAATCCTAAACTGATCATAACAGTATCCTAAATGTCCTAATAGGAAACAGATACGAAGTACATAGGATTTCGTCTAGGGACTACGAATAAATAAAAATATCAAAGATCAAGGTGAGTAGTCTAACTATTTAGAATAGTTATCCATGTTTTAAATAATTTAAAATTCTTTTTCTTTCTCATTATGAACTGTTAAGCTAATAAAATAGATCCTTTCGTCACATAATAGAACTAAACAACGTACATTTTTTCTTTTTATCGATCGTCAAATTATAGAGCAAGAACTGAGCAAAAGAAAATTAAGTGTTCTAGATCATCTAAGAAGCGTCAAATTTTCAGAATAATATAGAGGAATATATTTAGAGGACAGTAAAAAAAATCAGAATTGTCACAAGTAACTTCTGTATATATATATATATATATATATAACGACACATTTTTTCAAAAAAAAAATCAACACAAAATAATTTTGATTTTGGTTGTAACTATAGATTCACAGTTCTTTTTTTTCCTTTAAAACAACTTCATGTATAAAAGACAGTGACTTTTTACAATACATAATTTAGCAAACATAATGTCTCAGCTTCATAATAAACGAGTCACTTTTAACTAGCCACATACATGGCAACTTTGTTTTGCACTTTTTAACGTTAGTTATACATAACGTCAATTAATGATGTCAAAGTCACTTTGTACTTGATAATATAACAACATCTTGCTCTAAAGTCATATTCAAACATTACTTGTTAGTGACAGTTCTATTAAGACATAAAATTGTTAAAAAATATCCATTGATTACAGCGAGTTACATCTAATATAGCACATAATATTGAGGTTCAACATAGAAGACTAAACTGAAGAGAAAACTTTTATTAATATTGAAGTAGAACAACATATCAAATGGTATATCTTTGACAGTTATTGAGACTTTCATTCATATGCTTAAACTACTTCACCAATCGTAGAAATCGCAAAGAAAATGTAAAAAATATCTGTTTTTAATTATCTTTTCCTATTCACAAAGATAGTGAAATATGCAAAATGAAGAGCGGAAATTAAGTTTATCACCCGGTGAACAACGTCAACGATTAAAAAGTGGTAAAAGTCAATCGTCAACACGATCTCCGCCGCGTATTGTTATTCAGAATGATGACGATGTTGAAAATGATACTAATGAACGACAAAAAAGTTCGTCAACAAAAAAAAGTAAAGAAACAATAAAACGTTCAGAGAGTGCAACAAGCAATCGTTCAACGACATCATCTACACCACAACAACGTCGTCGATCAGTAAAAACGCCAACATCAAGAAGTAAATCTCATTCACCATTGCAAAAACCAGATAGACAAAAGGTAAAATCATCATCTTCACGAACATCAGCCAAATCAATAAAAAGAAAGAAAAGTTCGAGTATAGAAAACAACGTTCTAAAACAAGATGATACAGATCCAAAAGATCCATATACAAAAAATTTGAGTGGAAAGGGACTATCAGTTCTCTCATCAGAGACTTTAGAAGGTATATTCTCGAAAAAATGTTAACTATATCTTATATTAAATATCTATTTGTTCTTTTTTTCATTTCAGCTACTTCTTTACGTCGTTTAATATTGTCAAGCAACAATTTAGCCTGTTTACCTCCCAATATTTGCGATTTAATCAATTTAGAATATTTAGATTTTTCTCGAAATCCATTACGTGTAAAAAATGGTGTTGACGATTATACATGTTTACCAAAAGAATTTCGATATTTAAAAAAGTTAAAAACTCTTATTTTAGCTGAATGTAATTTAAAACATATTCCTCCTGTAGTATGGCTGACTATTAGCATAGAAAATTTAGATTTAAGTCGTAATAAAGTCGGTTTCATTGTTGGAGAACTTGGTAAATAATAATAATTAAGTTTTTTGACAAAAAATTTTAATACATAATATTAAAAATCTTTTATTTTATATCTTTTTAGGTAATTTAACTGAACTTCGTCATTTACGATTAGCACAAATGGATTTGACCACATTGCCACCAGAAATTGGATTTTGTGATAAAATTTTAAGAATTGATTTAACAGGAAATCCAATTGATAATATTCCTGAAACATTGGTAGAATGTCGACAAATGTATGAATTTAAAATTAATTTTAAAACATTTCATAAATTATTAGATAATTATATGGAATCATTAATTACAGATGGAAAAATTCGTTCAGAACATATTCCACCAGTTATATTTGAATTAGAAAATTTACAATATTTAGATTTAGATAATACAAAATTAAATTTTATACAATCTGAACATACCCTATACGCTTTACAAGAATTATATTTAACAAATAATTATTTTTATGATATTCCTGAAGCATTAACAACAATGAGTCAATTAAAACTTTTAAATATGAATAATAATCGTATTGGAAAAATACCTGATTATATTATTAAAATAAAAAATCTTGAAATATTATCATTAGCAAATAATTATTTAACATGTTTAACAGGAAATTTGGCACAATTAGAAAATTTAAAAAAAATAATTGTTAAAAAAAATCAAATAACAAAAATTGAAGTAACACTTAATGAAAGTAAATCATTATTAGTTCTTGATGTATCATATAATCAATTAACTGATATACCAGATCAATTATGTTCAATAGAACAATTAGAAACATTTGATATTAGATATAATCAATTAGAAACATTACCATTATGTATTAGACAAATGAAATCTCTTCAATCAATGCATACATTTAATGATCGTTTTCAACGAACAGGATTACATTTATTAGGTAATAATATTATTGAACCACCAAAACAATATTGGAAATCAACAGATATTCAACGATTATATAATTATACAGATAATAAAAAAAAATTAATATCAAAATATTATTATCATATGAAATTAATTATTATTGGAACAAAAAATGTTGGAAAAAGTCGATTAATTCAATCATTAATTAATAATAAAACATTATTAATAAGTACAAATCAAACAATTGATAATAATGAACCACAATATGAACATGATCAACAACAAAAATATGAAAAATTTGTTATTAAAAGTGAAATATCATCATCTATAACAGATCAATGGATTGATCAACAAATTATTGCACCACCTATTGAAAAACAAGAAAAGCAACGACGAACATTACCACCATTAAGAAGTTATAAATCAAATAGAAAACAAACATTTTTACATAAATATACAACAATAACAAAAAATAATTGTTATTTAACAATATTTGATATTCAAAGTGAACCAATATATGAAATTATTTATCCTCTTATCTACGATTCTAAAGCATTTTATCTAATACCAATTAATTTAACTATTCTACTTAATATTCTTTCAGCAGCAGTTGATTTAGATAATAAATCACTAAATGAGTAAGTCATTTTTTATATGTTTTTGTTTTTTTTTTCATTATTAAAAATATTGATTTTTCTAGTTCAACAGATCCTGATATTATTCAAGATTTAAATGAAACTTATTTCGATACATTAATAACAAATGACTGGTTAAAAAACAATATAACTCGTTATATTGAATCAATTTCAAATCATTGTGGTCAAATTCATTTAGCTATTATTGGTCTCATTTATGAAACTACTACTACTACTTATAATAAAGAACAAGTTAAACGTTTATTTGATAGTGTACAAAACAAAACAGAGATGTATTTATTAGAACATTATGATGATAGTCAAAATATGGTTGAATTTTATTCAAATTATTTTCAACCAATATATTTTAATGATAGTCCATCAATAACAAATGATTTAATTATTCAACTAGAAATAATTGCTAAAAAATGGAATAATATACATGAAAAGAATAAACGTTTAAATTTTAAACGAAAATTAAATATTTTTAATCAAAAAAATATAATAATAGATTATAATCATTGTCGAAAAAAATTTGATAATAAATATATTCAAGTTGTTGATAATAAAACTTCATTTGATGAAGATGAACAAAGTTCAGAAGATATTGACAAAGAAAATGACGAAGAAAATGAATCAGATCCTATTGAATTTGATTCATGTTTAGAATTTTTAAGATTAACGGGTGATATTGTATGGATTGATAAACAAAAAACAATTGAGAAATTTTATCATTATAAAACCACATCTTCTATTCAATATAATAACATCTTTCTTACGTTCTAATTTTCATCAATGGTTAAATTACGAAGAAAATGTTTTATTTCATTATTCAGGCTATTTCTTAACGAAAAATTCATTTGAAAATGATAAAGAACGATTGTTAGTCAATGGTGAATATACATGGAAAATGTTAAATGTACTATTGATCGATTTTTGTTTAAATGAACAACAAATAATAGAATATTGTTTGTTAATGGAACGATTGTACATGGGTTATTTGGTGCCAGACAATACTAACTGTAAGTTAGACGAATGTCTAGGCGCATTTTTCTTTTATGCTGCTTAAAAAAAGGCGTCCAAATGCGTTCAAATGTGCTAAAAACGAAAAAAGTGCATCCAGATACATTTTCTTTCTTCAGTTGAGTGAAAGATCCGTGTGGAAACTCATATATTTTAAGACGCATCCAAACGCGCTTAGAGGATCGGATTAAAACAAAACTCAGATGCCTCTAATTTTTTTCAATGATGGTTGCATCTAGACTCGTCTTTGAGACAAAAAATACCTTAAACGTATCTAGACGCACTGATTTTATATCATTCAACCACTAAAAGATGACTATATTTGCGGTTAGACGCGTCTCAAATTTTATTTAGTGCATTCAAACGCGTTTTAATGAATCTTGAGCAGAGAAAACTCCAAGGGGGAAAAAGCATACTTCTGTACTTCTGGTACTTCTCCGTACTTCTTGATACTTCTTCGTACTTCTTCGTACTTTTTTGTACTTCTCCGTACTTCTGAAGTACGAAGTACGAAATACGAAA